TTGGCCATTTGGATGTCTTCTTTGGAAAAATATCTGTTCATGTCTTCTGCCCACTTCTTGATTGGATTATTTTTTCTTTGGGTGTTGAGTTTAAGAAGTTCTTTATAGATTTTGGATACTAGCCCTTTATCTGATATGGAAGACTTTTTAAAAATTTTTTTATTGTTATGTTAATCAACATGCATTAGTTTTTGATGTAGTGTTCCATGATTCATTGTGCATAACACCCAGTGCTCTGTGCAGAACATGCCCTCTTTAATACCCATCACCAGGCCAACCCATCCTCCCACCCCCCTCCCCTCTAGAACCCTCAGTTTGTTTTTCAGAGTCTATCGTCTCTCATGGAAGACTTCTTTTTTAAACCTAATACCCCCACTGCCACCAAGGCCTCATAGTCATGCAGTGTGGTGACACGGGAGGATGGGCCATGGGGATACGGGTTTCTGGCCAGCTTGGCCACACTTACCCCACTTGCCCCTGCCACCTCTTCTAGTGCACTGCTGGGCCACTCAACCTTCACGAACCAATGCACCCACCCTGCCTGGTTCTATTGGTGTGAGGTTCGGGGGGTCACACCCTGGCTCCACAATCTGGCAAATGCCTGTGCATCTTGGCCCTTGGTCCTTGGCTTCCCCTGAGGGTCTCACCCTGTGAACAGGTGAACAGGTGTGTCAAGCTGTTTTCGCTATGACTCTGCCTTCGGAGAGGCAGTGCAGCATGGGAATAGAAGCTGGGCCCTGGAATCAGTCTCTTGGTGCCAAAGTGGCCCCATTACTACTTCCTGTAGAGCCTCAGGCCTGTGCTCAGGCCCCTCCTTGCACAATACAGTGCTTTGACTAGGTGAGTAAGGACCCTTTCTGTTAAAATATCCCAGGGTTTGAAATGTCTCAAAAAAGAGAGAGAAGCAGAGTTTTCCAAATGCTATGTGAAAAGTGATGAAAAATAACACTGAGAGATTCCTTCTTCTCTGTTATTTCTACCTGCGTATGCGTCTGCCACTTTCGGCTTCCGAGCAGCCCACGACACAGACTCACTGTGGGTGTAGCGTCTCCGTGGTTTATGCGGCGGGTAGAGTGCACACCTGAGGGGCAGAAATGTTCCCCTGAGCGCTTGAGAGACGGGTCTTAACAGGCCCTATGGGGGATGGCCAGCGGCCAGCCATCTTCCTGGGGCCACCTGTGTGCCTCCAGGGAGGGCTGCAGTCTTGGCTCTGGTCACACACCACCAGGACTGTGGCGACTGTCTGAGAATGAGAAGAGTCACAACACAAGCCTGAATACCACATCCCTGGCTAGGCATTTTCCTAAAACCCCATTTTGTTGAACATCTTCTGTAGTGAATAGGTATTCTTATTCCTCTTTACTTGTGAGGTTATAGAGGTTTGGAGAAGGGGAGAGCTCTGGGGGGCACTGCTGGGATGTGCCAGGTCTCCCCGTGCAGTCCTCTACGTCTTGCTCCAAGAGTGGTCCATGACCCTTCACCTTCCCTTCAGGCAGCAAGGCAGGGCTGACCATGAGCACGAGAGCACAGAGGCCCTTCCCACACCGATCTGTGTGTCCCACGGCAGTCTGGCCTGGTCTGGCCTGCCCCTCTTCCAGCCCCTGGCTCCCTCCCTCCCAGGCCCTGGACTCCCTGAGGTCACACTCCGGGGAGAGCTTCCTGTACACTCCCAAGTGTGTTCTCCTGGCTGGCTCTCATTGAGAATGTTCCTCGTGTGGTTCCCATCCGAGTTCTGCCTCCCTGTGACAAGGCTGTGTGCCTGACCCCTGTCCAATCCCCAGCCATGCTCGGTCCCAGCGGGGTCCCCTTAATTCCTGTGACAGTGTAAGATACCATGCTACCTACCCACAGGCCAGAGGGGACAAAAGCCATTGCCACAGGTCTTCCTAAAGCACAGATCTCTGTGGCTCTGTGTCTCTGTACTGGGCTCTGGTGCATCCATGCACCTGTGTGCACACACACACACACACACACACACACCAGCTGTGGAGGGCTGGGGGAGGGGCTTATCCACGTGGGGAATCACATGAGGCGATTCTGACGGGGGCTGTCCTATTCCACACTTTGGGAAATATTGCCCAAACTGAAATATTGCTAAAATGCACTGTCCGCACATTTTGTCACACATTAGGCTTCTGTTCTTTATGAAATAGGAAGGCTAATGTCAAGTTTACAAGCTTCTATAGGCTTAAATAACCAAATGAAGCAAAGAACCATCCACCTTCCTAGAAAGCACTCCATACATTTATGTAAAAGAACTTTGTTTTGATAAGTTAGTTTAAGTAAATATGGGCATGAGTATGTGACTTTGTTCCCTTCCCCTCAAGAGGCTGAGCAGGGAAGGACCCTCCTTCTTAGCTCGGCCACATTCTTTTTTTTTTTTAAAGATTTTATTTATTTATTTGAGACAGAGAGAATGAGAGACAGA